CTGTCGTTGTTGACGAAATCAAGGTAAAATCCAATTATGACGATCATCAAAATGGAAGTCACAGTAACAATATCAAGCAGACATAACGGTCTTTAGCCATAATAGTCTTTAATTCACTGTTTGAAAGGAAAATTATCTTTTAAAAATTATTTATTAGAATTAATCTGAATACGAGTACCTTCTTATTAACGTATAAATTAACGTTTGACTTTATATAGGTTTTTTAAAATATAAAATAGACACACAATTGGCTACAAACTCACCTGCACTTACGCGATTATGTGAACAATACCTATTAACTCTAGCCTTGAATAGCCCCAACTTGTAGTTTTCCTTTTGTTCCTTTGCTATATGTATTAGGAACGACGAACCAAAGCTTCATGCGAAAAATATTAATGTATTTCGATAGATATGATACAGTATGCACTAAAACAAACAATTCTCCATTGACTTAAATTTGCATAGGGTTAACGTAAATTTAAAATTGTACAAATCTCTTTACATGCATTATTTTGTTTGACATTGCGTTTTGTATTCAAATTTTAAAGACGACGTAAAACGAGATTATTTTGTATCTTCACTAAAAAAGAATGTTTTAAGACCAGCTTCACTTTGAAACACGAGGTGTTTATAAATAAATTTTGTCTAAAATTCTGTGTTGGAAATTGAACCTATTTCTCCTTTTCATATTAATATTTATGTTAATATATAAAATTTTAGGCAAATTCAAAGATATCTATGTACTATCGTACAAATTTCTCTTATTCTATTATATTTTATACGTACAATAATCATACTAATTTATTCTGAAGAGCATAGAGGAATTAGCACCACTAGAGCTGCTTGTGAAAGAGTTTGTCCAGAGAAGTACTGCTACTATACCTATTTCTGCCGCCAAGCAGTAATGATACCGGTGAAACTCCAGGAACAGGACTTGTCAATTTCATGTCTCACGGTGATGGGTGCAGTGGCGGTGGTCCTTACATCCATGCAATTTTAAGCTCCAGGTGGTACTGAAACTGTTATGGGTAGACGTGATGCTTACCATTAGACGCACGATTAGTTCGTCTTGTTACTTGACAATCATAAAAATATAGATATAGATGTATTTTGTTAATCTGAAAGCCATATATGACATTTTCAGACCATAATCAAATTTTGGTTAGAAAAAGGAGTAGCGGGAATGCGGATCAGTGCAGTCAACTACGTTTTTGAAGCTGACAAGGACATGTATGGCGGACATTACCCTAATGAACCTCCAACTGGAAAGCCAGACGTTGGCACTGACGATTATGGCTATTTGGATCATATTTATACAAAGGATTTAGAAGAAACATATGAACTTGTGTCGCAATTTAGAGAAATTTTTGACGCTATTTCAGTAAGGGACAATATGACAAGGTAAATTTTAATGTGACTGTGACAGCTTTTTGTAGATCGATCCGGGTAATTGTTAAACAAGGCTAAAATAAGCTTATTTAAGAAAATAAAGAAATGTACGGAAATGATGATCATCTGATAGGACACGATAATTTTTGTAGAAGTATTATAGAAGAAAAGACCGAAAGAAAGAATGTCAGGGGAAGATGTAGATGAAATTGTATATATCAAATAATGTAAAATATTAATATCGTGCCGTATAAAGTCAGGATACCGAATAAATATGGTTAGAATTACTTCACCGATAATAAGCTTTTTTTAAATAAGAGGAAGACAGAGTAATTGACTCCATTCTTCATTCTTTCATAAGCATAGCATATTCTTATGAATGTACGGAAACATGATTGCTCAAAATAAAATGTAACTGATCCAACTGGAGCCGATCAAAATCAATACTACTTCTCCTTTCAGTGGAATACGTAAACCAATCGGAACAATGCTTTCTAGCTTACTTCTTTCACATTCACTGTTCCTTATATGCTTATTGTCCATCAGTTTTAATTCACTACCTTTAAAATATTTTCTAAAGACTTTTGATTATCAAATGGTAGCAAAATAATATTAACTTTGGATTTAACAATGTTTCTTACAAATATAAATAACAACATGATTAGAGTTAAAAAATGAACCTATTGATTTTTTCTAAATTCGGTTTATTTTCAACATCATTTATCTAATGAAACGTTGACAAAGCAACATCAATTTCTTATACTTAACATTCATGTTCAGGGACTGTGTGTGTTTTAATAACCCTGCTTTTCACAGAACCTTTATCCTTGTACATTTTCTCTTTGTGCCCGCCATTATGAAGGTACATCATTAAACATGTATTTGTGAACACGAAAGTTCATTTTATTCTGGTTTTACATCAAAACCTTGAGTTTTTATGGTTAAAGATGGTTTGTAACTTTATTGCAGATTGTTTTTGCCTAGTAAATACAAATATTTTAATTTCAAACCCGAAAAGAATATATAGAAAGTTGGTGTATCTAATAGGGAGCGCGGTTCTTTCTCAGTTGAGAGGTCAACTGTTCGGATTCCGATGATAGCATGTAAATTATGACTTTAATCGCGACGTCACATTTATTTATGAATATTTGATAGCAATATCTTTTGCTAACGATGAAGGAAAACAACATGACGAAACTAGCACGTTGAAGAAGATTCACAAACCTTGGAAAACGTGTGAAGTCCGTGTGAAGTATATAGGTCCTGAAATATATCTGATCATTATTGATTTTACAGACAAAAAGATTTCAAGTAGCCGCCGAAAAATGTTAACACATCAGGAAATAAAATACTCTCTACTACCAAACCAATTAACTTTTAACTTTCAATACTTTGCGTTATCTTTATTTCCTAGCTTATTAAATTCAAGATTTTCAAGTTTTTTTATATCGCTTAATCAAAAAGCCTAAACACAAGGGCTTAATGTAATGAATGAATTATTACCCTGTTCCAAAAATGCTTGTTATAAAAGCCTCTTTGTAGAGACTTAATACACGCTTTAAAGTTGCAGTAGCTTTATAATATACTCTACTTTGTCTTTGTGATTCATATATAAATCGTAAGTCGGTTGAAGCATCGTGTCGGAAAGATTAGCTAGCCTAGTTGTTGGCGATGTGCCTTGTGAGGAGTCCAACTATAACAGCTGTGCATGGAAATTGCCCCCTATAGTTATTGTTATCAGTTCCTAATCTATGTTATGTACATTGCACGTCATCTTTAGCCTTCGACAGACTACTATCCAAAGTAATAGTATTATAAATGCGAAAATAACTCCGTCTGTTACGTTTTCACATCGAATCGTTGAACCAATAATGATGAATTTTGGTATATAGGTAGATGGGACTCATGAGAAGGATATAGGCTAATAATATAATAAACTTAAAATTGGTGAAACAGGAGATGAAAGTTTGTGTGAAGAACCAATACAACTATGAAAGTTAGTATACTACAGTAGTCTACAAACCATATTTGTGTTGTAAAAACGAGCGATTTGTTCTATGTATCGTTTAGGTTCTCGAATTTCTCTCAGAGAAAAGTTTAAGGAGACTCATGACTGTGGCATCAGATATTATCCATAATATTAACCTTAGTACTAAGTCCAAGCTCATGGTACCACCATTTCTGTCATTTCTTAAGTTTAAAACTTATGTTAAAAGTTTTTAAGCTGAAAAGTCGTATTACAAAATTTAAGAGTATGTGTTAGATAAAGATGTATGATAAGACAATATGGGTCTGATGCCGCACAATTATGATTCAAAGTATATTTCATAGCATTTAAGATTATTTCAAAAGAGCAATTTCTAGAGTTTCTTGCTCGTTCTTCTCAGGAAGGTCAGCGTAGTTAACGAGCAGAAGCTTAAAATGTAAAAATTTTACCTATGGTATAAATGATTATTTGACTTGACTTTACGCAGACGAAGTCACGTGCACTAGGTAGTAGAACATATTTCCGTTGCTAGATACCTTGTGAATTATTAGTACATGTTTTTGAGAACACACAAAATCAACATTTATGTATATACTAATCTTAAATTAACTTGTGTTTGTACAGAATAATGATAACAGAAGCACACACGAGCATCAAAAATGTAGTACGCTATTACGGTGAAGGCATGCACCTTGGAGCCCAAATTCCTATGAACTTTGTCTTTGTTGACGACGTGGACAAAGAATCAGACGCAAGAGATATCACATATACCACTGATAAATGGATGACTTATAAGCCGATGAAAAGGCCTGCTAACTGGGTTGTAAGTAAAGGACTTAAACAAATGTTAAAGTTGTTATGTTTGAGAATGATACTTATCGTCGAGGAATCGGCTTGAATCGGTTGAAAAAGCTTTTTGTCCAACAAACGAAGCAAAACACACGTCTTTTTTGCTTTTATTGCATGGATCTGAACGCCTGAAGCTATACTGGCTAAACTGAGGGAGCAGTAGAGCTCATTGAGAAAGAGTTGGTCCAGGAAGTGCTGCCACCTTACCTACTTATTTCTGCCGTCAAGCAGTAATGCAAGCGTTATTGCGTTTCATTTTGAAGGGTAAGGGTGCTGGTGAAATTACAGGCACATGGGACTTATCGACTTAAGTCTCAGGGTGATGAGCGTAGTGGCGGTGCCTGTAATCCTTGCGATTTTTTTTTGATTGCGAAGCACTGCTTTAGCAAAAATAAAAAGAAACATAGTTCCAAAAAAAAAATAAAGAAACTTGTTTTCTACTGCAGTGTAATATAACAAATGTTAATTCAATGCAGTGAAGTCAAGATTTATTTATTTACAAGAAGTAGTACTGGTTGCATGACCTGGCTGTATTACTGCATAGCTGTGACGTACATGACTAGCTAAAAGTTTGTTTCATTCCAAATACTTGGAGTGTTTCAAAAGAATTTTTCGAACGGCTACATTTGCAGAGAATGCCTGAGTTGAAACTTCAAGGTTTAGATTCATTAGTGAATAAAGTAAATGATTAGTGAATGCATAGTACCTAGTGGATTACGAATTGCGTAATGATATTTGAACTTTCAGACTGGCAATCATGATACGAGTCGGTTGGCTTCAAGATTCAGATCAGAGCTGGTGGACGCTTTTAATATGCTTGTTTTACTGCTGCCTGGAATTGCTTTCACGTACATGGTAATATGTTTGTATAAGTAATATTATTTGAAAAGTTAAAAAGGTTGAAACATCTTTTAAAAAAATGCCGGAGCAACTTTGAATTATGAATATATTATCATGAATTCATATAAAATCTATGTGAGAAGACGGAAAAGTTGTGCACCATACAGTTTATTTTGTAACTATGCGGAGTTAGGTAGGGAATTTCGCTACTAAAAAGTTGATACGAAAATTTGAATAAAACATTACGCGAGATAATATGATAGATGCTTTTAAACTTAGATAACTGTCATTTCGAAATGTCAAAGGGTGAAGAAATAGGAATGGTAAATGGATTCGTGTCGTGGAGCGAAACGAAGGATCCCCTGGCATGCAACACGGACGACCCTGTGAATTTCATCAATGTGTCCCGTGACCCAGTCCGGACGCCGTTTCAATGGAGAAACTACAAAAATGGAGGTACTTATATACCTTTTTTTGTAGACTATTTTCTTGACATATTTCCTTAAATCATATGTATATTTTATTCTTTCGTCTTTGCCAGAATCAATATTGTTATTATATAGAACACAAAATTAGTAGGTTCTTCTTAGGACGCAATTATTCTATTGAATGTATTTGTGAGCGTAACTACAGTGTAGCATTGTACACAATTAAACAGTGACAATAATTTATTGGTCCCTAGGGGTCACTTATATAACCCTGATGTTCCCTTTAATGTTCGCCGTGCCATCATTAACAGTGGCAGGTGTTGAAATGTTAACGAGGGCAACGTTATTGATATTCGCCTAATAGAAGCGCCTATACAAATACGAGAAATATTGAAAATTCTAACATATGTGTATTGCATGATGACGTGCTCGCATTGTACAACTTTGAAAGCATCGCGACTTATGACGTAGGTATTGAAATCGAATAAAAATACCGATTCGCTATGATACAGTGAAGATCGTATGTATAAGAAATATAAAGAGCCAATGTCGAAGCAATATCGAAAGAGAACGGCCACATAGGACGTTTTCTGATCAAATCGAGAATGTTCTTAAAAAGGCCAAAAGTACGCAGTGAGAGGAATAAGGGAGCTTAATATAAATTATAATATAAATATCTTTATTTACTTTGTATGATCACAATAAAGTAAAGTACAATAAGAAAGTAGGTTGTATGAAAAGATTGTTGAATTTGTGAAGATATGCCAGCGTTGTACATTGTGGCGGTCTATAGTCTCTTTATAACTCCAATAGGACTTGAAAAAAAACTATTTCAGAATGTGTTGAAATCAGACGTTGAATTGTCGATATTGGATATCTGCATAGGATGGTGCATGGAGGCATATCG